GGGTTTGGTACGATATGTTAGCCAATTCCTCCCAAACCTGGCAGAACACACCGAGATCCTACATCGTCTGACGACGAAAGCTGCTGACAAGAAATTCCCGACATGGGATTCCGAACACCAACATGCATTTGAACAAATTAAAGCTATCGTTACCAGCGCTGACTGCTTAACCACCATCAACCACGAAAACATGGGGTTGAACAAGATTTTTTGTCACCGCAGATGCCAGCGACCGTCGTTCCGGCGCTGTACTGTCCTTTGGTGAAACTTGGGAGACTGCCAGGCCCGTCGCATTTGATTTGAAGACCTTCAAGGGTCCTGAACTGAACTATCCCATCCATGAGAAAGAACTGCTCGCCATTATTCGGGCATTGCGCCAGTGGCGCGCAGACCTTATCGGTCATACCATTCACGTCTACACGGATCATAGAACACTGGAAAATTTCCACTCACAGCGTGAATTGTCCCGCCGACAAGCACGTTGGATGGAATTTATGTCCCAGTTCGAGACAAAAATTATCTATGTGAAAGGCGAAGCCAACACTGTTGCCGATGCTCTCTCGAGAACAGATTTTGAGGACAGCATGGAGGCAGATCTACACGCTACAGCACCCTGCGATGATGACTGCGATTCGATTGCCTCGCTCACATGCTCAGTCGCGGGAACACCCTTGATGGCTGCACACTGCCTGGCGACCACAAGAATCAGAGATCCCAACGACGCTCTATGCACCATCATGTCCGTCGCTGTGGATGACGACCTATTAGAGACCATCCGAGTTGGCTACAAATCCGACCCGTGGTGTGCAAAGTTCTCTTCGGTCACAGAAAGCATCCCTGGACTCACAAACAAGAATGGCTTGTGGTACATCGGGGAACGCCTCATGATTCCACGTGCTGGACACATCCGGGAGCACCTCTTCCGTCTCGCACACGACTCACTCGGACATTTCGGCTTCGAAAAGTCATACGGATCCCTTCGTGATACTTACTACTGGCCGAACATGCGCCGTGACCTCGAGACAGCATACATACCTTCTTGCCCGGACTGTCAACGCAACAAGTCCACAACATCGAAGCCTTCGGGCCCATTGCACCCCTTGCCCATCCCTGATGCCCGATTGGACTCGGTTGCAATTGATTTTGTGGGGCCATTACCTGAGGAGAACGGACACAACTGTGTCGTCACGTTCACAGACCGCCTTGGGACAGATATACAACTCGCTCCAACACGAACGAACATCACGGCCGAGGATTTCGCCCTTATATTCTTCGAAACATGGTATTGCGAGAATGGCCTACCACTCGAGATCATCTCAGACCGTGACAAATTATTTGTCTCAAAATTCTGGAAGGCTCTTCACAAGTTGACGGGTGTCAAACTAAAACTATCCACGGCCTTCCACCCTGAAACAGATGGCTCGAGTGAGCGCACTAATAAGACACTCAACCAATGCATTCGTTTCCATGTTGCTCGAAACCAACGCGGCTGGGTACGAGCTCTACCACGGGTTCGCTTCCACATAATGAACACGATCAACAAGTCCACAGGCTACTCCCCTTTCCAATTAAAGACTGGACGCTCTCCGCGACTCATTCCTCCGCTTGTGACACCCGACTCTGGGGTTGAAGCCGAGGACGTGGCTGCAGCAGAAATCATTGCGAACTTACAACGTGATGAACTCGATGCTAGAGACTGCTTACTCGCTGCGAAGGTCACACAAGCCTTCAACGCAAACAAGGACCGAAAGCCCGATCCAAACTATGTTGTCGGCCAGCGTGTCAAGTTGACGACAGAACACCGCAGAACATTGTACCTCCGCACCAAGGAAGGTCGCTGTGCCAAGTTCATGCCACGGTACGACGGCCCGTACACCATAACATCTATCCACAAAGAGTGTTCCACTGTCACCTTAGACATGTCGTCACAGCCCGAAATTTTCCCCGTCTTCCACACATCAGAGATCGAGCCGTACGTGGAAAATGATTCGGAATTATTCCCCGACCGCGAACTCCCGCGCCCTGGCCCGATAATCACACCAAACAGGGAAACCGAATGGGTCATTGACGAAATCATCGACGAACGACCTCGTGGCCGTGGTCGCCAATATCTAGTAAGATGGGCGGGACACGGTAATGAAGACTTACGATGGCTCCTGGGCCGTGAACTCGCAGACTGCGAAGCCCTCGACCGTTGGCTCGCACAAATCGACACTCCTTCAATTACTAACTCAAATGATTAAACAAACAACTCCCCTTTCCCCCCCCCTCCCCCCCCCCCAGGTTTCACGAGGTATGCTCGATTTTTCAGGGAGGGGAGGGGTGTAATCATGCCCACTGATCACGACTTGTTTACTTACGGCTTTACAGCCAAATATGGACACGTAGACTTCTTAGCTTTTACTTCCATCTTGCCTGTACGCTAGCTAGCTGCTCTCAACGCTGATAAGCAGTGAATGAACACACCTATGAAAATGCTATATTTTTCGCTTTTCAAATGTGTAGTTCATTCCTATTGTATCATTTACTAGAGGCAGTACTAAGAACCCGAAGTAGCTGGCCTGTGGCCAGCATCACAAGAGCAACGGGACAACACCCTGGTGGAAGCCAGAGGTGTTTCTGACATGTTCTCGCTCTGAAACGTGTAGGAGATTGTGTAGCCCAACTAAACCAGAGGGTATTTCGTTGGTACTGGTAGTTTCGGTAGTTTCAATACCGAAACATCGAGGACCAGAGCGGCGAGCGACTATGTGGTTATCTATTTGGGAGTATCGACGTGTTCGCGTCGATCCAGGTGATGTGAAAGGCACCAGAGGCAGTGTTTCGGTTGTAGCCGAAGTGTCGGTTACTCGGCAACGGACATCAGAGTGGGATAGTAAGCGAAGGGGACACATGATCGTCGATCCCGGAGTTCCCAGGACTTCCCCTTTGGGTGATAGGAGCGTTCTGGAGTATCCATCCTGAATCCACACTCGAAGTGGGGTATCATTCGAAGCCTACATGGCTGGAGACTCTAGTTTCCATGAAGACCTTTGAGGGATACTCCCAAAAAGCAAGTTACATTGCAAAAGGATTACATGGTGGTTGATGCCTAAGCTGCCATCAATCCACCATGTGCAGAATCTTACCAAGGAACGGTCGGAATATACCCGGAATGGCGTGCTCAGTGCCCCTGACCAATAGGACTCGTTATATTTTAATTGCCAAGACGGATACACGGATTGCGAGGCGGTTAAACGGACCTTTTACTTAATTCCTTCTTTGTCATAGTCATATTTTGGATTGTATAAGTAGCTAGAGGTGTTTCTAGGGTCAGAAAAAATCCTCCCCCCACTAGTAAGCCTTGTGCTTGCGCCTGGGAGGATTCTAGTCGATCTTCGGACACCTACCAACGTCAGTTTGTAGGAGTTGGAATATCACCATTGTTGGATTGGATAAAACGTCTGAGCGTGGCTCTTGAATCGTATTGAATCGCCGGCCTTGGGTCTTGAATTGTTGGAATCGTATAGAATCGCCGGCCTTGGGTCTTGAATCGTTGGAACCGTATAGAATCGCCGGCCTTGGGTCTTGAATCGTATAGAATCGCCGGTCTTGGACCTTGAATCGTTGGGAACTGGGTTGGGAATCGTTTGGAATCGTCTGTTTTGTTGTTTTGTTGTCTGGAACCACCACCATCTTTGTTAAACTTTGCGGAGCTTTCAGTTTCGCTTTGGAATATTGGTGAACCTCACGGTTCCCTTCATTCCAATAAACTCTATCTGTGTTGTTTGCGTTGGAAACTTCAGAATCCTTTTGGATCCTTAGTTTCCATCGTCATAGTCGGTCATAACCGACTCAAGTCTTGGTGTCCGAAACAGATATCCTTTGGGATCTCTTAGTTTCGTACATAACAAACGCTTGCTACGTCTTACAACGACTTCTTGAATTAAACTTTCTCCCGATCAACCTTTACAAGGCTCTGAATCAGGACTGACACTCGTCTGGTACCTCTGGAACGAACGTTACACCACAGTTGCTGCATACTATTGGTTGTTTAGGGATTAGATTCGTCTGTTCCATCCGATTCTTTGGTTGTAGTATTTTGTTTTGGCTGTTTCTGTTAGTTTCCATCCTAGGTTCGGAGCTCACTTATCAACGCCGACTCCCTGAAAAGGGTCTAAATTCTCTCTGTGTGATTCTTATTCTATTTTCTCCATCTTTGGTATCTTGCGAGGTAAGCAAGATTCCACAGTCGCGAAACCAACAACGATGCATGACAATCCTAGACTCTCACTCCCCGTCTATTACTCTTCCCTCTCAAGTCGCTCTTCGTCGAAGAAAATAAAATAAAAATATGTCAATTCGACTTTATGCACCGATGGGGAATCGAACCCCAGTCCGCCGTTGTAATGACTGCTCGATTGATAGTCCATTCATTCTGTCGGCGAGTGTACCATACACCGTCGGTGCTTTCTTGTCTCCTGTAAGTCGTCATTATACTACAGTATAAATCCTACTTGAACCCTTCAGTCAAATTAGGATTGTTCGAATTCAGCCAACCAACTTGAATGATGATTTCAATTTAAACCAGTTTGATGATTCTCGATCCCTCCTACTTCCAAGCTCTTCTCTGAATTGCATTAAGCTCTCGAGGACTAGGCCAAAAAAATGGGAACAACATATCCTCCATGCACCGACGGGGAATCGAACCCGAGCTCGCCGTTGCAATGACAGGATAATGATTGCTACGCTATTGTGTCGGCGGGTGTACCATACACCACGATGCTTTTCTTCATGAGCCATACTACAGTATGTAGAAATTCGTATTGAAAAAAGAGCATCCAGTGCAGGCAGTCGCGGGCATGGATTAATGTCAATGTGGTTCAAATTCAACCGACTTGAATTTCACCATGCTTTCCCGAGGTATCACAATCCCTCCTATTTCCTCCCAGCTCATAACTATTGTTCCGAATCACTCCAAGTTTTCCTGGAAAAAAAGAGAAGCACTTCTGCTCTGTCCACGCACCGACGGGGAATCGAACCCCAGTCCGCCACTGTAATGACTGCTCACTTATACCCCATTCTGTCGGCGGGTGTACCATACACCATCGGTGCTTTCTTGTCTCCTGTAAGCCGTCATCATACTACTTACAATATGTAGGACTAAATACTACCTAAATCCTGCAGTCAAATTGTTGTCGTTCGAGTTTAGCCAACTTAGCTTGAACTTCAACAGGCTTGATGATTTCTCAATCCTTCCCATGGTCTAGCTCTTACTTCACATTATAATCAAGCTCTCCAGGACCAGCGGAAAAAAAGCGCGGCAGTCAAGTGATGTATGCATCGATAGGGAATCGAACCCCAGCTCGCCGTTGTATTGGCCTTCGAAGATTATTTCGTCAGCGTGTGTACCATACACCATCGGTGCTTTCTGCACTCGTTAGAATGGTGGATAAATTTGTTCTTTTTAACAAACTAAACCGTGAGCGCATGAGTATCAGCAGGCGATTTAAATTGGCGCGGGCGGTCAAATCAGGAATTCATTTTTTATTCTTTAAAGTTAAGTCGCACAACCAACAGCAATGCATCACAGTCCTAGACTTCTACTTCCTGAGCTCTTACTCTTCCCTTTCAAGTCGCTCTTCGTCGGAGAAAATAAAATAAAAACATCAACCAATTCGACTTTATGCACCGACGGGGAATCGAACCCCAGCTCGCCGTTGTATTGACCTTCCAAGATTATTCCGTCAGCGTGTGTACCATACACCATCGGTGCTCTCTACACTCTTAAGAACAGTGCATACATCTGTACTCTTCAACAAACCAAACCCTGAGAATCAGTGCAGGCAATTTACATTGGCACGGGCAGTCAAATTAGGAATTCATTTTTATTCCTTAAAGTCAAGTCGCACAACCAACAACGATGCATGACAATCCTAGACTCTCACTCCCCGTCTCTTACTCTTCCCTCTCAAGTCACTCTTCGTCGAAGAAAATAAAATAAAAACATGAACCAATTCGACTTTATGCACCGACGGGGAATCGAACCCCAGTCCGCCGTTGTATGCTAGACCCCTGACGACTATTTCGTCAGCGTGTGTACCATACACCATCGGTGCTTTTTGCACTCTTTAGAATGGTGGATACATTTGCTCTCTTTAACAAACTAAACCGTGAGCGCGTGAGGTATCAGCAGGCAATTTAAATTGGCACGGGCAGTCAAATTAGGAATTCATTTTTTATTCTTTAAAGTTAAGTCGCACAACCAATGACAATCCTTCCTACTATCTGCCCGCTTGAGATTTTACTCTTCCATTCCAAGGTCATTGAAGCAAAGAATAAAACAACAGAAACACATGCACATGCACCAACGGGGAATCGAACCCCAGTCCGCCGTTGTAATGCTGCTCAACGGCTACTCCATTCTGCGGCGGGTGTACCATACACCATCAGTGCTTTCTTGTCTCCTGTAAGTCGTCATCATACTACAGTATAAATCCTACTTGAACCCTTCAGGCCAATTACATTGTCGTTCGAATCAGCGAACTTGCCTTGAGTTATGGTTTCAACACGCTTGATGATTTCTCAATCCTTCCCATGGTCCAGCTCTCACTTCTCTGAATTGCATAATAATATCCAGGACCAGGACCAGGACCAGAGAAAAAAAAAACTGAATCTCTTCGACCTATGCACCGACGGGGAATCGAACCCCAGCTCGCCGTTGCGATGACATTACTACGCCATTGTGTCGGCGGGTGTACCATACACCATCGGTGCTTTCTGCACTCGTTAGAATGGTGGATAAATTTGTTCTTTTAAAAAAACTAAACCGTGAGCGCGTGAGTATCAGCAGGCAATTTAAATTGGCACGGGCAGTCAAATTAGGAATTCATTTTTTATTCTTTAAAGTCAGGTCGCACAACCAACAGAAATGCATCACAATCCTAGACTCCTACTTCCCGCCCCTCCTGAGATTTTACTCTTCCGAGTCACTACTCATTGAAAAAAAAAAGAATAAAAACCGAGACACGCATTGCCAAGATATGCCTCGACGGTGAATCGAACCCCAGTCCACCGTTGTAATTCTCGTTAATACCTTGATCAAGGTGGTCAAAATTATCGCTGGAATCCAACCAGCTTGAATTATGGTTTCAACACACGAAGTTTCAAGGATTACTCCCTTAGCAGCTCTTATTCTTTCAAGTCACTCCCCATCGGAGAAAAGAATAAAAAAGCTCAAACACAAGAGAGATGCACCGACAGGGAATCGAACCCCAGTCCGCCGTTGTAACGACTGCTCAATTGATAGCCCATTCTGTCGGCGAGTGTACCATACACCGTCGGTGCTTTCTTGTCTGCTGTGGGCTGTCATCATACAGTGTGAATCCTAATTAAATCAGTCAAATTATTGTTGTTCAAATTCAGCCAACTTGAATCATGGTCACGGTATCAACCAGTTTGGTGATTCTCGATCCCTCCTACTTCCAAGCTCTTCTCTGAATTGCATTAAGCTCTCGAGGACCAGGCCAAAAAATGGGAACAACATATCCTTCATGCACTGACGGGGAATCGAACCCCAGTCCACCGTTCTAATGACTACCAAGCTATCCACCCATTCTGTCGGCGGGTGTACCATACACCGTTGGTGCTTTCTGCACTCGTTAGAATGGTGGATAAATTGAGGCAATTTAAATTGGCACAGCCAGTGAAATTTGGAATTCAAGCAACGATGCATCACAATATTAATCCGAGACTCTTACTTCCCGCCACGCCTGAGCGCTGAGCTCTTACTCTTCCAAGTCACTCCTTGTCGAAGAAAATAAAAACATCAACCAATTTAACCTTACGCACCGACGGGGAATCGAACCCCAGCTCGCCGTTGTAATAACTGATAAAGAATTATCTTGTAATCTTGTCAGCGTGTGTACCATACACCACGGTGCTTTCTTGTCTCCTGTAAGCCGTCATCATACTACAGTATAAATCCTACCTAAATCCTTCAGGCCAATTACATTGTCGTTTGAATTCAATCAACTTGAATCGTAGCTTGAGTTTCAACCAGTTTGATGGATGATTCTCGATCCTTTCCAATGGTCTAGTTTTTGCTTCACATTATAATCAAGCTCTCCAGGACCAGCGGAAAAAAAGCGCAGCAGTCAAGTGATGTATGCATCGATAGGGAATCGAACCCTAGCTCGCCGTTGTATTGACCTTCGAAGATTATTTCGTCAGCGTGTGTACCATACACCATCAGTGCTCTCTACACTTGTTAGAATGGTGGATAAATTTGTTCTTTTTGACAAACTAAACCATGGGCGCACGAGTATTAGCAGGCAATTTAAATTGGCGCAGCCGGAATTCGTTCTTTTATTCTGTAAAGTTACAGTCGCGAAACCAACAGCAATGCATCACAATCCTAGACTCTCACTCCCCGTCTCTTACTCTTCCCTCTCAAGTCGCTCTTCGTCGGAGAAAATAATATAAAAACATGAACCAATTCGACTTTATGCACCGACGGGGAATCGAACTCCAGTTGTCATTAGCTTCAGGACCATTTTCTCAGCGTGTGTACCATACACCACGGTGCTTTCTTGTCTCCTGTAAGCCGTCAGTATACATTATGTAGGAATGCGTATTGAAAAATGAGCAGCCAGTGCAGACAGTCACGGCCATTAAAATTGTCAAAATGGGGTTCAAATTCAACCAACTTGAATCTCACCATCTTTTCTCGAGGTATCACAGTCCCTGCTGTTCCCTCCCAGTTCATAATTATTGTTCCGAATCACTCTAAGTTCTCCCGGATAAAACAAAAGAAGGCTTTCCTCGGTGCACGCACTGACGGGGAATCGAACCCCAGCTCGCCGTTGTAATGACTGCTCAATGGATACTACATTCTGTACCATGCACCATCAGCGCTTTATTGTCTCCTGTAAGCCGTCACATACTACAGTGTAAATCCTACTTCAGTCAAATCATTGTCGTTCGAATTCAGCCAGCCAACTTGAATCGTAGCTTACATTTCAACACGCTTGGTAAGTTCTCGATTCGATTCCTTCCCATTTTCCCATGGCCTCTCTGAATCACATTATACTAAACTCTCCAGGACCAGCGGGAAAAAAAACTGCAACGATATTCGGTATGCACGAACAGGGAATCGAACCCCAGTCCACCGTTCTAATGACTATCAAGTTATCCACGCATTCTGTCGGCGGGTGTACCATACACCATCGGTGCTTTCTGCACCCTTGAGAAAGGTGGATAAATTTGTTCTGATAACCCGCGCCATGAGCATCGGTGTAGGCAATCTAAATTGGCGCAGCCGGTCAAATTCAAATCTGGAATTCAGCCAACACCGATGCATTGATCCTAGAATCGTACTCCCACCTTGTCTGAGCCCTTACTCTTCCAGGTCACTCTTCTTTGAAGAAAAGAATAAAAACATCAAGAAGGTTCCTTGGCATGCACCGACGGAGGAACCCCAGTCCGCCGTTGTAATGACAGTATGATGATTGCTACCCCATTCTGTCGGTGGGTGTACCATACACCATCAGTGCTTGTCTCCTGTAAGCCGTCATTAAACTACTTACAGTATGTAGGACTAAATACTACCTAACTCGGTCAAACTATTGTTGTTTGAAGTCAGCCAACTTGAATCATCGTTTCAACACGCTTGATGATTTCTCGATCCCTCCTACTCTCTAGCTCTTACTTCTCTGAATCACATTACAATAAGCTCTCCGGACCAGAGAAGAAAAACAAAAGATCTCCCTGGACGGCACTGGACCATGCACTGACGAGGAATCGAACCCGGTCCGCCGTTGCAATGACAGTGTGATGAATCTGTGATTCTGTCAGCGGGTGTACCATACACGACCGGTGCTTTCTGCACTCATTAGAGCAGTGCATAAATTCGCGCGCTTCAACAAAACCACCGTGAACATCATGATCAGTGCAGGCGATTTAAATTGGAATTCAACCAACAGCGATGCATCACAATCCTAGACTCCTACTCCCCGCCCCACCTGAGATTGCTCTTCCCTTCCAAGTCACTCCTCACTGAGCAAAGAACAACAAAAAAAAGAGCAAATTGTCAGAAAAGAAGTTGCTCACAGGGGAAAAAAATCGGATGAACCATGGAAGCTTGCATGAACCGGTGAGATTTAAGCCATTTGAGATCGTTGCATTTCGGGCCGTTCAATCACCTCAAGAGTCCATCCGGAACTATCTATAAAGTGTCGGAGAACATTGGAGACCAAGGTGTCCTAGGCCGGTTTTATTGTCCGTCAAACTCAGACTCGTCGTCCGATTTGCCATATTTTTTATTTTTAGAAGCGCGGATTTCGTTAGTCTCCGTCTTTCATTCCTTTTCTTCTAATTCTTTGCAAGTTCACCGTTCGAGTTGTCGAGCGCGTCACTATTGTGCTCATTCTCGCAAGACTCCGAGTCGATTGCTGCCACTGCAGGGGTTAGATTTCAGAGTCTTCTTCGAGGGCATGGAGGAAGATCGTTTTGAACGAGCGGGTACGTTTCAGGTAGATGGAGAAACGATAACTCGAAGGAATCGTAGACTGATTGAGGAAGCGGAAGTTCAGGATCAGCTCGCACGGAGAAATCAAAACGCGTTCACGTGACACCACGAGAACGTGACGCGACGCGTACCTCGAAAGTTGGCTGAAGCCCAGAGGGCCTGGAGAAGGAAGTCGTCCATTGTAACAGTGGTTTAATTGTATTATTTACAACGCGTGGCAAATTCCAGAAAATTACGGCGTACAGCTGCAGATCTTGAGCTCCTTCGGGGCAAATTAAAAGCAGCACGGTGCTATTGTGGCAACTTTAGGTTGCGTCGGTCGATAAACGTTATTCTATAATACAAGCTACATGGAATAAATTATAATAGTCTCAAAGACGCCCGTGTCCAAGTTATCCTACAGAACCCGGGGGCCCTTACCCTGTGAGCTCACTGGGGCGAAGTCCAGTGATTCTTCTACAACTTTGTCAACCTGGATTTCGTTGGCCGTTGTCCCGCTTCGTGATCCCGCCTCTCCCCGCTGGACCGATAGCGGAATGGACCGAGAAACCCGAGACATAATAATCTCGGAGGTGGTAATTATGCGTCGATGGAAGCCGAATTTAGTGTTTCGGAAGACGTGGCAAGCCATGGCGTTTGTTACCATAACATTGCACACGGTGAACATCACTCGGTACGTTGGTGCGACCCGGTTGTTGTAGAACATTACGACAGAGAGAGTGTTGGCCGTGACGGTAATACTGTTCAAGTTGAAGAGGATTAGCAGCTCCCCAGATTATAAGTATATGGAGCCGGAACGTACAGATAATACAGTTGACCGTCGTGGAGGAGTGCCCTGGAGAATTGGGGAAGGTATTCTCCGGTGATGAAGGTCCTGATATTTCCCCCGAGAGAATGAGTACTAATAGTAGCATAGGAATTCTGGAACAATCGCCACGAAATGGCCAGGAAAACCGTTGTGTCATGAATCAGTGGAGTTATGCCGACTGCCCCGGCGTACGGCTTGACGCCGACATTCAAGCAGTATTTAGTGGGGCCAATATTCCTAGCTGTTATCGCGGTAGGAATTGTGGCGGCAGATCCTGCTACGCTGAGCCACAGCAAAAAGAAGAATAGGACCAGGTATGGGTTTTTGTTGAAGATGGCGCGTGCTCGGAGGAAGAACAGTAAACACGTTGATGGTACAGCAATGGCGAGACAAACTTCGACCATTGTTTGTGCGACGGAGCAGTGATTGAAAGGGTAGGCTGGAAAATTTATCGTGAATCTCTGCCGATGCTATCTGGAGGCTTAGAGCATACTTTCGAACATAGCACTCAAGAGAATGAAAAGGAGAGTCCAAAATCTAACCGCACTTATTAGCATTGCGACGGTTCAGATTGGTTGGGTTTCGTACCTGGAGAAGAAGTATACCGCAGTCGACAATCCCACCCGATGTTCAGATACAAGTGTGTAGTCATTGAAGGCATTGGATAGAATATCCCAAATATATGCCTAAAGTAAAATGAATTTATTGACGACGACGAATTGGACGGAACTTGCCCCAAGTGTACCGATAAGGATGAAGCTCCCGATTTGAGTCTGATACGCAATATCCGGGGGCAAGAGCGCGTATGGTGTGAGGGGGTTAGGGATTGCTGTGAGGTTTAGGGACGGCATGGTGGGCTGAGACTCGGTCGGTGCCACTGGGACATTGAGACTCGGTGCATACTTATGAGATGCCGGGAGAGGTAGACACGGTTGTCAGCTTTTATCCCACGACGTTTCCGTATGAGTTCGATGCGCATGGTTGCAAGATATTCCTATTGGTCGAAGTAATATTCTGATCCCACACAAAGTAACCGATGAGATCAAGTGCCAGGTGGGTATGACGCGTATAAGTAGTACTATTTATGAATTATTATTCAGATGAGCAACCTCCATCGCGGCGGCGCCACAATCGTTGATGTTCAACTTGTTGACAGAAATCCTCAAAAATCTCGCGGATAATATAGTCACTCACCTTGGTTATTCCGTCGCGGGTCAACTTGTCGATTTAGAATGAATTTTCATCAGAAGAAAATTGAAATTGGCTAGTTACACAGTGCTGCACTGTAGCTGGCAGTTGAACTCTGGTTGAACTTGGATTGCACGTGAGCGGAGCTATCCGGGATGCCAGCATCAGTCTCGCTTAAGATCAGTCAGACCTCCCTCTCTTTCTGAGTTGATGAATGCGCCCGGCATTTGTTCAGTGTGTATTGTCTTCATCTCCGACACCCAACGGAATCCTGAATTTCCCGGGACCATGCTGGTAGCGACGACGACCCAAATGACTAGTCTCTTATCTTCCGGGTTCTCACTCGTAACCTCGTTCTGAAGCAATCGACCACTATTTGCCCTCATCTTGGAGCTTCCCGGGCAGTTGCGCCCAGCGGA